CCCAAATCCTTAATCCGCCAAACTCATCAACATCTCACACATTAACTCGCTAGGGATTTTATATAAATCTTCCTGTTTATGTTTTACATAATCCTCACCCCACATGTCCTTTGTGCCTGATGGCAGACGCTGCGCAGTTTCAATATGTTTATTATTCCTGATTTTGCCACAATCCCTTTTACACAAATCTCTAGGTTTCCAATTAATAATGTTATTCCAGAGCCTAGTGCGTTTTCTATAATTCAAACCGTATTTACAATAATCAACATCCTTAAATTTAAACTCATTCATAAACTCGACTTTTTAATAATCCGGTTTGTGGATTTTCAATTACATAATATTTTGGATTGAAATATTTAATAATTTCAATGGTTTTTAATACAATACTATTAGCATATTCAATGTTTCTTATTCCTGTCGTTTTTGCTCTGCTGTATTCGGTGCATGGGGGGCTACTCCAAATAAAATCAAAATGGTTTCTGTCAAACTGTTTGTAATCCCATTCTAAAATATCAGTATTTATATCAGCATTTGTCAAATCTAATGAAATAACATTGAAACCTAATGACTTCGCAATCGTTCCAACTGAGCCTGTGCCAGAAAATAATTCTATTAAGTTCATATTATTAGAATTATCTAGATTTTAATTTTCAACAATTACATATTTACCATCATCACCCTTAATTAGTTTATAATATTCTAATGTTTGTTCTTTTGGACTTTTGATTTGTCCCTTATTTAACATATCACAGTATTTTTTACGCTTAGTATCATAATCACCGCTAGGTCTGCCTATCCCTTTCTTTTCAAAAATATTATTCATCTTCTCCTTCTCTTCATTGCTGTTTTTTGGTTCGCGTTCAACTGCTTTGACATCTAACTTTTCATCAATGGTTTTAACAATTTCTGACAACGCTTTAACATTTTTACTAATAATTATAAGCTTTTTCATCAAATCGTTCATAGTGAAATTGTCAGCTTCAGACATTATATATTTATTTATATAATTATTTATTCAAATATATGTTTAAATATATATTTATTTATAAAATTGATTTAATGTAAAATCTAGTCTTTATATATATCATTTTTTCATCATTCTTTCTCAGGTGTAAATAACCTACCAAATCCACTTTTGAAGTTTTCTACCCAACTTTCTTCAACTGTGCTTCCGTCGGCATCTTTCTTTTTTGCTGTATGTACTGTATGCATGTTTCTACCACATGAACACGGCCAACATTTAACTTTAACATGTTCTTTATCTAATTCTAATTCATTTAATGGTTTAATTGTTTGACCGCATTTATCGCATTTGACGCATTCAATCTCTTTTTGTTTCTCTTGCTTCTTCTTTGGAGGCATTTATATTAATATATATTTTTTTTTGTTTGATATATTGAATTCCTAACTTAATTAATTCTAATGAATAATAACATAATTTCTTACATTTACTATCAGTTATTACAACTTGTTCTACTTTCTCTACCTCATCTATTATATTAATATAATCGGAATAACTTCTATTCATATTAAATAATAAGATAAATTATTATAAATTAATCTTATTATTAGAATATTCGGGGCTCAGCAATGGGGCTTTCTTCGCACTGGACAACACAAGCGAGGTTCAAACTAATTCAAACTAATTATCTTCAATGCTTATTGATTGAAGCAATGGAAAGACTGTTCCATTTCAAGATACATCCCCTAAATCGTATCTTGAAAAGATGTTCCATTTAATATTAATTACAAGTTAATTTTTAAATATAATTTTCTAAATATGTTTAATATTAACTATATGACTGATGTTCCAATAATAAAACCAATAAATATAACTGATTACGAGTTCAAGCAATCCAAATATGAGCACGTGCCAAAATTACCATTTAGAAGTATTATAGTGGCTTCTTCGACAGGCGGTAAGACTGTCCTTATTCAAAATTTGATATTGAATGTTTATAGAAATTCATTTGCAAGAATATTTATATTTTCACCAAGCGTCCATAACGACCCTACACTTACAGACGTAAAGAAATATATTAGGGATGAACTACATGTAGATGATGAAAAAGAACAAATTTATTTTGACAATTACAATCCAATTGATTTAGAAAATGTAATTGAAAGACAGAAGAAAATTATTAATTATATGAAATCTAAAAAGATAAAGAAACTGCATTCAATATTAATCGTGATAGACGATTTTAGTGATGACCCCAAGTTTTTAAGATATTCTAAAATACTACACGGTTTATTTACAAGAGGTAGGCACGACGCAATCAATGTTATTTGCTCCTTACAAAAATATAAATCAATTGCAAATATAATTCGTGTTAATGCTTCTTCGCTATACATTTTCAGACTAAAACACATTACAGAACTAATGAGTTTCATTGAAGAAAACGCAGCGATAGTGGATAAATACAAACTGTTAGACATGTATCATACGGCAATAAATAATTCTCCGTATTCATTCTTTTATGTTAATTTGAAGTCTAAAGATGTCAATCATATGTTCTACATTAATTTTGAACAACGATTTACAGTTAAATAATGATTTATTATAATACTTAATAGGACTTTATAATGCCTAGAAAAGAAATAGATTATTCAAATACTCATTTCTATAAAATAGTATGTAAGGATTTAAGCATCAAAGACTGCTATGTTGGACACACTACAAACTTC